TATGCTGGATGTTTTCATGTACTGACTTCTAGTAGATAATGAACTGTGATTTTCTCCCTGCTGAAGGTTGTTTAAACCTTCCCTTCCATGGCATCTGCCATGGAAGAAAATGTTTAATGGATTTTTTTTTCTCTCAGTAGCATTTAGACTGTAAACTACCAGCAAAGACATTCACTTGCAGATACAGAAAGAAGTGAAAACATTATAGAGATACTGTGCCAAATTTGGTGTTAGTGATTCAACAGGGTTGTTAAAAAGTTGCAGGAGATGTAGATAAAAGCTGTAAGAATAAACAGAAGGCTGAAAACCATGCTTTATAGATAATGGTGTGAGGTGTTCAATTTGCATACAAAACGAAGAAGACTGGAGGTATATACTGAATTTAGGCCCACCAGGTGCAATTAACTCAGATTATTTGATCAGAAGATTAGAAGGTATTCAAGTTGCCCAATTTCCTTAAATGAAGCCCAAAGCTTTTTTCTAGCTAAGCCAGATAATTCAGTCCTCAAAAGTGTGTTAGAGACGGTGAATAGATGAGTCCAGTTTCTGAGCAATCTGTCTGCAACAGGAAGGAAGGTGAGTGGTGCATCTGACATGTCAGAAGGAGGGGATGTCATCCAGAGGGACCTGGACTTAGAGATGGGGCCCGGAAGAACCTCATGAAGTTCAACATGTCCAAGTGCACGGTGTTGTACCTTGGCTGGGACAATCCTAGACATGAGTTCAGATTGAGAGAAGAGCTCACTGAGAGCAGTCTTGTGGAGAAGGGCTTTAGGGGCTCTTGAGGATAAAAACCTGGACATGGGACCACAGTGAATGTTTGCAGATCAGAAAACCAATCACGTCCTGGGCTGCATCAGAAGCAGTGTGGCCAGCAGGTCGAGGGACATGATTCTACCCCTCTGCTTTGCTCTGGTGAGTTCACTCCCACCTGGAGGGCTGCATCCAGCTCTGAGGTCCTCAGCACAAGAAAGACATGGGCCTGTTGGAGTGAATCCAGATGAGGGCCACAAAAATGATCAGAGGGCTGGGGCATCTCTTTTTCAAAGACAGGTGGAGAGAGTTGAAGTTGTTCAGCCTGGAAAATAGAAGTTTCTGGGGAAGATCACATTTCAGAACCTTAAAGGTGCTTACAAAAAGGAGGGAGAAGGATTTTTTATATGGGCAGATAGTGACAGGGCAAGGGGGAATGGTTGTATTCTAAAGGAGGACAGGATTAGCTTAGATGTTAGGAGGAAATTCTTTACTCAGGGATGATAAAGCACTGGAACAGCTTGCCCAGAGAAGTGGGCAGTATGCCCCCTCCCAGTAAGTGTTTAAGGCCAGGTTGGACAGGGCTCTGATCTAATGAGTAGCATCTGTGTCCCTGGCAGGGGAGCTAGAAATATATGATCTTTGAGTCCAACCCAAACCATTTTTATGATTTTATATGATCCTATGAAATGATCAGATAAATTAAGCCAAGATCATTCTAATGGATGAAATATATCTTCTAGTGCACCAGAAAACCAAGAAATCGAATAAATTAACCTTATGCTTCATCACCACGAAAAGGAGAGAAGTGGTCAGACCTGAGTATGCCAGCAGATACATCAATGACACAAGTTTTCTTCAGAGTAGTGGACTAAATGTTCTACTTTTATGTTGCCAGCCACTGATGCTGCAGAGGAAGATGAGAAAACAAATAAACAAAACCAGCAGGAAGTTTTTTTTTCTGACCCTCTGTAAGTAGTTAATTGAAAACTGTAAGCTCTGATTAACATAATTACATTAAAACTTAAGCATTATGAGAAGAGTATAGAGATAATAGGATTCTGAAGTCAGATTGCAAAAAAGAAATTGAATGAAGATACAGAAATGGGATGAGATTTCATAGTTCATAAAGAAGAGAATGAAATTTTGATTTATTGACAATTAGAAAGAACAGCTATGCAGACAGGCTGTCCTGAAGTCAAAAATGTCTCTGTAAGGTTGCATAAGAAGTGCATTTTTAAAATTATAGCCTGTAAATCTGTTTTTTATAAGCCTTTCCACTTTATCATAGAGTTTATTTTTTTTTTATTATTATTTCTACTGCTGGACACTGATCTGTGCAATAACAATAATGACAATATTGCTAAATGCCTCTTGTCCAACATTTGCATCCTGTATCACAACCAGATTGATGAAGTATCTCAACTTGTTTAAGGCACAGAATATAACCAACTACTTCAACAACGTCATGATCCCAATAACCAACATCCTTGTTAACCAAAGATAATTTTGAACTATTTAGTTCAATAAAAATCTAGTTTGTGCAAGGGAGACAAAGGACTGACATGTTAAGAAATACTATGATGGGATACTAATTTCCAGTGGAAAACAGGGACTTAAAATCCTCAAGAAGATACATTGTTCAGAAACCCAAAAATTTGGACACTTCTTTTCTGCCTCCCTCAAGACATACATTGGGTATATTTCTCTAACAAATGTCCTCCAAAACAAGTTTGTTTGTTGCTTTTGTTTTTTTTTGACTTGTGCTCTCAATTTTATAAACTCCTTTTCTCCTCAAGAACCAAGTACATGAGATTCCCTGTCTCACATGAGGTTTTCTTCACGATCTTCTGCTCCCAAAGACTTGTGCAAGCATGAAGCCGCAAGCACTCATGTTCTTCATTCAGGAAGCTCCACTTATTTCTCATTTGTTTGGCTGAATCAATAGGAAGTAGTTGTTGGGATTTTTGTTGATCCAAGGCCTCAATTTATCCTCACTTAAAAGGTTTGCATTAGCAAGTTATAGTAGGATTCTTAAAGTTTACTTTCTCTGCTTCATCCTACAGAGTAAAGAGAAAGGGGACTGAGAAATAATAAAAAACTTGTCAACAATTTTCTGCCTTTGGAATGAATAAGTATACTCAAGTTGCTTTACTCTCAAGGTAACAGGACATAAAGGTTTCATCTACTTCCTTTTCACTGTCAAATTGCAATCATGGAGGCTTGGTGTGACTAAGAGTTGGGCTTGCCAAGGATGCTAATTCAGTGAGTTTGGAAAATGTGTGATTGTAGAAAAGCAGAGAGAGATGTGTGTGGATCATTGTTATGAAGTTCACTATTTCATATTTTGATTTATTTAATCTTAATGAACCCCAGAAAGCACTTTCAGTGTTTACTTTTTCCTCATTTGACTCTAATTAACCTTTCCCATGATTCAGATGTCTGACAAATGTGTAGGGCTGCAGGGCTAAGTGCTTTTTTCCATGATTGACTTTAATTAAGCTTTCTCTAGGCTTGAAACCCTTGTAAACTCAAAGAACTTTATTTTAATTGCCTTCTGCCAGATATACTTATGCTAGACAAATATTATAAATCAAATACAACACTATTAGAAGTATGATGAACTGACTAGCAAAGCAGTAGTCTGCCATGGTGAAATTCATTAAACTCACCAAAAGAGCTATGATGGGAGAAACAATGACTGATTTCATGAAGGTAACTTCTGGGCTGTTAGCATCTTTTGTTTTTCTGCAGTGTAGGTGTATGAAAATATTGTTATTCTTCTCCAGTTTTGATGGTGATACGTCATATTCATTCATACTAGAAATTATCCAGTGGATCCTCCAAGAACTTATTTCATGCTTTGGACTGATCAATAGGTCTCTGTTGCAGCTGCTGGAATGAGTCAGTTCAATCTTAATTAGGGGACTCTGTCACCTAAATCATGGCATTTATGCTCTCTGACTCTGTCCTAAAAGAGCCATCAGAAGAACCAGACAAAAAGGCACCAATGCTTGTACAAATAAATGCTGATTTTATTTTTCAAAATACTGCACACAGAACCACAGTTCAATGGCTGTTTGCAGAAATAAATGAATGATTGTCCATAAATTTTAAGTTAAATGTAAGTTTTATCCGAACAAAGGTTTGTAATCTTTTTTTTTTTTTTTTTTAGTGCTTCCTGTCAAATGGTAGCATGTTAAGTTGGTTCATGGATTGGAAACATCCCTTCTATTCAAACAAATAGCAAACCCTATTTTCATTCTATGTTGCATTGCTATAAATTGAACTGTGAAAGAGGCATTGTGAGTAGCACAAAGGTCGTATGCTGCACATTTTGGCTGCTTTTCCATCATATGTTCTGAAGGATCAACTGAGCTATATTTACCTACCTACACTTCTCCTGTACCATCTCCTTGTGGTTAATGGGAAAGGTGTGGTTCTCATATCAGAATGCCATCCTGTGAAAACCCATTGCATTTGCTGTGGCTGAAATGCTTTCTCTTAATAGAAAAAGTTCTGGGGAGCTTTTGTTAGAACAAAGCCTACCAAAACTGTCTTTGGGATCAATTACAATATAGCACTGGTCTTGAAGTAAGGGTCAACTTTCTCCTTCAGTAACTAACAACATGAAAATAGATATCAACAGAGGTTAACCATAATGTCTCAATTGTGATAGCTCTGTTTCCTTCCAATTTTTAATCCTTTTTTAACATGTGGAATCTTCTAAATTATAAAACAAAATGATTATGACTATGGCTTAGATCAAGTTAATTCTCAAAAGTGAATACTCACACCTGAGCCCACAGTCAAAGAAGTATCTAATATTTAATCATATTATATTAATATGATTAACATATACAAAAATGTTTGTGTGCAATTACAGATTAATATATGCAACTATTTAAAACAACTACTTTATCTGAATACAGATCCTTCACAAAGCAGTAGACTGACTGCTCCATTAGCTCTATTTACCCAGCTAATATGTGTTGCTAAAGCTTTTGCAGCCAAAGGGTCTCCATGGGGACCAGCTTTGGCTTAGAAAGCATAATTAAGTTTGGGTACTATTGATACTCAGCTTCCAAGAGTTTTAATAAAAACACTGTACCAAGGTGGCAACTTTCAAACCCCATCCCAGGACAACAGAACTCCTTAAGCCAATCAAAAAGCAAGTGCCAGAGCCTGAACAAAGCTGTTAAGTCTGGAGTATAAATGTTAGCTTTCCTAGATCCTGCAAGGATGGAGGGTTAGCTCCTGAGTTAGACAGATTGTCAGTTGAAGGACTTCAGAGAATTTTCAAGGTAAGTGAGGATTCATGAAGAGAGATGCACAATGAAGAACTGGTGCACAAAATAATTTTTTTGAAAAGCACTCTTAGCCCTCTAAATAGTAGAATATTGTGGTTTTTAAAATGGAGTTATAAACTGTTTGATGTACTGAGGCTTTTTTTATTCTTGTGAGTCTTTGTTTATTCAGAGTCACAATTATTCTTAGAAAAAAAAATCTACAGCCATATCCTAGTTTTAATTAATTCTATTTTACATCCTGACACTTTAACTTACTTTTGATCAGCTTCTAAGTGATCTGTTTGACACGTCTATCTTTAATTCAGACTAATTGTCAAATCAGTTTACAATTTATCAGCAATGTGAAGAGTAACTCTAGCCAGAAAACTATTTTTCTTTCCAGAGTGAAAGTAAGCTATTACAAAGTGCCTGGGAGACTTAAGAAAAATGGTACTGTCTTCTGAAATTTCTGCGTGCAAGAACCCCTTCAGATTTCTAGGAACAATTTTAAGTAATTTCTGCATTCAACAGACATGACAATTGTCTGACTTGAATGAAAAATATTGCCTAAATTCCATTGCCTTATTTAGACTAAGCTGAGGGCCCGGAATCTATTACAATCTATTCCATGTGCTGGTTTTGTGGTGCTGTTTTCAATACCATGCTTTTACTGGGTGAGAGTGCTGACAAGTTATATTCTTCTTAAACAATACTTGCAATTACAAATCAAACAATAATGTCTGCCTCAACATTTCCTTTACATATATTTTAAAAACTCTGTGTAACAATTATCTGAAAAAAAAGAGCTCTTTCAGCTTTTTTGCTGTATATAAAATCCCAAGTATAGACAGTCATATCTCTTCCCTATTGGCTTATCGTTACCTCTGTGTAACCCTTCCTCCAGCTTCTAGCAGTGAGAACAAGGACCTTACATGGAAATATCCTTTTCTAAAACTGATTAAACTACAACTTATGCACATTTATTTTTCCTCTCCTGGTTCTGTGAAATTAAACTACAGTTGCAGCTGAGCCAGACATTTTAATGAATTGCAGGTTTACAAGAGAAAAAAAGGCAGAACTAGGATAATTTTGCAATTTAGTGAGGCTGGCCAAAACTGGCATAAAGTTTTGGTTCAGAAGGAGAAATTAAGGAAATACTTTCTATGAGGGTTTCATTTCAAATGTACACCATACAATGCTGTGAATTTCACAGATTTCTTTTCAAATTGGAATTTACTAATTTCTTTTGATTATTAATAAAAAAATTTTAAAAGTGCAAAACATCACTGGCATTAAAAAAACCCCAAAACCAAACACAGCAGATTTCTCTAAAGTATATTCTTCATATTTTGGTTGGGACACTGAATAGAAAATCAGTTAGTCACACAGAAAAGCCTTAGTGTGCAAAGTCTAGTAATTTTTAGGGTCATGAGTCATTGGTTATTACTTAAACCATATAACTCAAAAGTCTGCACAGAAAGGATGAGACTCTGTATATTGGTATTTCCAAAGACTGAGCAGAGCTGAGTATGTTCATTACCCACCTGGCCTATGAGAAGTATGTTCATTACCCACCTGGTAGATACTAAGGATATAGGCAGGCAGCAACTCCCTGTGTTGAATTAGTTTGAATTAATGATATTTAGAGATGATGGGGCTTGGTGCTTTTCCCTCTGCTTCTGTGACCACCATGCTTGCTTCTCAGAGTAGACTGTCCATTCCCCTTTTCAATGCTGGCAGCACTACACCTGCTTCACCCCTGCTGTAAAGTTGCCTGTACCGCAGTACCCCTCCCATCAATATGAAATATTTGGCATAAGGGCACAACAGTCTCACTGTGAAAAAGACCAGTGAAAATGGATCCCCCATGCCCATGTGTTTGTCTTTCACTTGCAGTACTCAGGGCTAGATTGTTTCTTTCTTTCCAGAGAAAAAGCAAACCCAAACAAACATTGACCAATCAAACAAAGAAAATACCCAATAATTTAACAAAAACCAAACCAAACCAAACCAAAAAGGGGAGACGAGAAGCCCTAAAATAATGGAGGATATAAGAAAGGAGTACATGATGGGTGTATTGTTTCCAATTAAGTGCAAGGATTTTGAAATATCTTCCTAAAAGCAGTGGTAATTTAAAAAAAATGCAAAAAATTGAACATATTTAAAGCATTTTCTTGTTCCCAGATTAGTGGGTTAAAATAATACTCTGGCTTTTTACTCTGATTTTGCTCATATGAAACTTACCTTCATAAAGTAACTTGCCATATTGATGCAGCTGCTTGGATAATGTTTGTTCCTATGTTTGTCATTACCAAGCAAAGAGACCTGCCAAATTATTCAAAAGTGTATTGCAGTCCCAGCACCTCTTATTATTCTGTTCACTTCTTGCTCCCGTTCTTTTCATGTTGTTCTGATACACAGGGATATAATGAAGAAGTTACATAACTAATTAAAACAGATGCATTTTTCAGAAAGACTTTGGAATTGATTTTTTGAGAACTAGCAAATTCAATTCTCAAGTGTATCTCAACACTATTTCAAAAAGTGTTTCATTTATTTGTTTTAGCTTTGGGGAGTGATGTTCCCGTATGGATTTTTCCAAAGATTTAAGGTCTTACCTTGGGTTACTTGCAATGAATGTGACTAAGCCATGACTGTTTAAGCATGCTGTCAGATCAGAAGCAAAGGTGTAACTAATGTAGCTATCAAAGGGTCTCTAAAACTGACAGACTGCCTCTACAGGATTTTATAATCTGTTTTATTCATACCATTAGTAAGATATAAGTATAGCCTAATTTTTATCACAAAATGCATAAATGAAAGCAGTTGCAATTCAGACATGGGGCTTTGATGGAGGGCTCATTGAAATCATTGAAAAGACACATGCTGGTTCCACTGGTCATGGATGAATATCAAACACATGACATCCTACTGTGATTACTTGTTTCAATGAAAATTTTTCTGATAAATCTGTCAAGCTTTATAATGTGCAAAGGAAAGAAGGGTTAAGAAAACCAGGAAAAAATATTTGTTATATAAATCAAGGTTTTTCTAGTGTGGGCAATGGAAGAAGGGAAAACTTGTAAATTTTCTTCTTTTAAACAGAGGTCTCAAGTACATAACCTTCAATTTTGGATTATTTCATTTTTCAGGTTGGATGGCTGGTGGTTTACCAGTCTGTATTTCTTTACCAGATCTTGATATCTTTTCTCTATCTTGTTCTCATATGAGGTCAGAAGGGAAAAATCGAGGAGAAAGAAAAGGAAAGTTGTACCTAGTTACATTTTGGGATCAGAATTCAAAACCAAAGAGAAAGTTCAATACATGTTTTCTTGCATGGAAATATTTGTAACAAGAATCATAATCATAATAATTATCTACATAAAAAATCCTCATTATTAATAGCAGTGGAAGCAGTGGTATTTGAAGAAAAAAATTCCTCCCTAGTTACTTATAAGAAGACAAATCTTTACAAAATACTGAAATCCAAATTCAAAGAACAGTAAATATGGTTAGCTTTGAGTTGCCACACTGAGTTCTGCTTCTTTTTTATCGATTCAAAATATTCAACTGCATTGGAAAGCTTGGTCTCAAATAGCTACTTTTCCATAAAATACACTTTTTAGATAGCATAATTTCAGATTTGGCAAATTGACCCCAGGATTAATTAATTTTCCCCCCTTTTAAACCCTTACATATCACTCTGCAGCCCTACCCCTCTATCTTCTGTTTACTGGACCATTGAATTTCTTGCTCACAGAATACCAATCACAGGGAAAGAAGCTGGAATGAAATTAGACTTGATCAGTAGTGACTGGTGATGTATGGGGGACACAAATACTCTTCTTCTCTCTGTGAAGTGACATGTTGACATTGCTTGTGTTGTTCCTTGCTTGTATTGAGCAAGGATTTCCACTTTTTGATCATGGTGGTGTCTTTTCTTTGGCCTGTGGTTGTCCAAACATGGAAATACCAAGTGACTGAGTGATGAGCAGTGGGGATTGCTGTATGGAATCTCCACGTACACACATTATGTATATGTGTCTAGCTCCCATGCACAGGCACAGAATAAAAAAAATCCCTGAACCTTCAGGTACTTTTTACTGGTAAAATAGCTGCAGGGTGACTGAGATTAATCAAATTACTTGAGAGAACAAAAGTTCAGGGAAATAGGCACAGCAATAATCCTTGTGATTTATGAGCATCGCGAAGGATTTACCACATTCGGTTCACATGATAATTTTGCTTTGGTCACTGCCTTCTGACTCACCATGAGAACTAATTTGCAAACCTGAGATATCTGAATCTTAAATGATTCTGTTTATTATGCATGATGAATAGAAAACCATTGTACTAACATTCCCTTATTCTTCTTTAGGATTTAAGAGTGACTGAAAATGAAAGTTGTTAAGGTGTCTGAGTTGTCCAAAACTTGACATATATTATTTTCTTCTTCTTGCAATTCCCAACATTGTCTATTAGCCTTCCCTCATTTTAGATTTTTTCCCATCTCTTCAGATATGCAACCGTCTGACATACCAAATAAAGAAAAACTTCAAGTTCTTGTAAAATCTGATGTCCTCTTCCCAGTTACAGCTGCAATTTCTCCATTATTAGTGTTACCAAATATTGTTATTTTCCTTTTTTTTTTCCATGCATCTTTGCTTTCTGCTGTTTCTTGCACACTGAAAGGTGTGTTGATTAGCACCATGACAGGAAAAATATGCAGGGAAATGATACAAAAAAGTCGCACAGATGTCTCTGAAATATTTTGGAAATTCTGTAGCAGTAACATATATGTCACCTTCTGCCATAAGTATAAATTGCTTCAGCTCATTTCTTGTTGAAGTGTGAGTTGTATTAATAAGGAGTGGGTTTAAAATCCTCATTGTTATTTTAAAGGTCAGCCAGCACACACAAGCAGCATGCCAATGACAGGAGTTAATAATTTAGATAACAGAAGATAAAAGTATTAACTCACATGAAATACAGCGACAGCATCACATTGACAATTG